GGAAACCAACACAGTAAGAGCGGCCCTCCGGTCCCCCACTTCACCTTAAAAGAGTCTGAAGACTAGAAGCACACTGCTTAAGATAGAGAGTGAGAAACAGAAAACCACCCTTGCAGTTTAGTTTCACAACTTCTCAAACAAAAAGGTTGATACTCAGCATTTCTGCATATGTTAATTAACCCTAAGATAGATCCTTCTATGCTCTAGACGGTCCTTAAACCCTTGTACTCTATGAAGAAAATCAGCACCTTTGAAGGGCGAGAGAGATCAACAATCAGTAACCTCTCCTTGAAACTCCATATTATTCAGTGTCCTATGGTTTCCCAATTTACATAAACCATTTCCTAATGCTTTACATAAAGATCATCCCTACACTCATGATCCCTTTAAACCCAGACTGCTTATCTGTATTTGTCATTTTAAGTTTAATTTCACACGAAATAATGGATGTGATACATATTTTCCAAATATTTCTCTTCAATGTTTCTTGTTTATTGAGATCTTAATACCGAATGCTGCATGAAGGTCTCTCCACCTAGAACCAGAGATTATTTGTAGCATCTATGGGGTGCTATAAATGCACCACGTGCGCTAAGCTCTCTGCACTCTCATGTTATCTTCATTCCTAGCTGATGGGGTATTGCCTGTTCCTTTAACTTTCCAACTATTGCACGCAGGTGCTAACTGAAATATAGATAACAACTGTTTCTTTCTGTCTACCAACATAGCAACATTGTATCCCATATAACCTTTACATTCTTGGCCTTAGTAGACTAGATTCAGCTGGTCTGTCAAACCTAGTCTGTCAATTGCACATTCACAAAGTGAAGCTTCTGCAGATTTACAAGAGAAACATATGCTATCCATTTATAACAACGCTCTCCCTCCATTGCATCAGGTTTGGGTTTTGAGGTGCATTTTCTGTTAAACTGTAACCAATACCCATGGTTTGAAGGAGAAAATTACTCTTCTTTTCGATGTACTCTACTTGAGTCTACATTCATGTTCAATCTCATAAAGTTACCCAGTAGAGCGTTTTGGGTTGCAACTTTAGGTATTTATGAACGTAAAGTCAATTTCATAATTTGGTGCAAGGAGATTGGATACCCATACTTGTATTTTTCAACCAAATAATTTAGATATTAAACTTTCAAGCTTCAATTCTACAATTAAATTTGAACCACACTCTAAATTAAGGAAAAATGATTAATCTATACTTCACAGGATTGTTTAATCGTTTTTCAAAGTGCTTTCTATTATGCCATGGGAATAAAAGCAGTACAAGGGTTTTGTAACCTGTTACTTGGGCATCTGCAGATGAGCCTTAAAACCATCTTTACCAGCTTCCTTTAAATAGATGGATCATATATTTGAGACCTTCTTTACATTAGCTAGATTTTCACTGATACATGATTTAAAAGCATTTCCTTTTGTTATGTTTGTAAAGTTGTGATTACCAGAATTGAAAAATTGTGGCATGTATTTAAATCATTTCAACCTCTTATTAACACTTTTTCTTTCTTGGATAAGGTGTTCTTTTTCTTCTTAAATCCGTTATTAATCTTATCTTGGAACCTCTCATGCGATTGTAATGGACATCCAGGTAGTCAACCATGTCTTTTGCCACGTCCTCAGGAGCTCTCCCAGCTACCACAGATTCAATAGCTGAGGCTTTAGAAGCCAAGGACCCATCGGAGTCCATCTCCATCCTTTATCGCATCATTGCGAACCCTTCTTCCTCCCCGGAAGCTCTCCGTGTTAAAGAGCAAACCATCTCTAACCTCTCTGACCTTCTTCGACAAGAGAAAAGAGCCGAAGAGCTTCGAAGCCTTCTCACTCAGCTGAGGCCCTTCTTCTCTGTAATCCCCAAAGCAAAAACTGCAAAAATAGTGAGAGGTATCCTAGATGCAGTTTCTAAAATACCCGACACCTCTGAGCTTCAAATCTCTCTTTGCAGAGAGATGGTGGAATGGACTCGAGCCGAGAAAAGGACCTTTCTTAGACAGAGAGTTGAGGCAAGGCTTGCTGCACTGTTAATGGAAAGCAAGGAGTACTCAGAAGCTCTAACACTTATCTCTTCACTTGTTAAGGAGGTTAGAAGGTTAGATGATAAGCTTCTTCTGGTTGATATAGACCTCTTGGAGAGCAAGCTCCATTTCTCATTGAGGAATTTGCCCAAGGCAAAGGCTGCATTGACAGCTGCCAGAACAGCGGCTAATGCCATATATGTGCCTCCGGCTCAGCAGGGCACAATAGATTTGCAGAGTGGGATTCTTCATGCTGAGGAGAAGGATTACAAGACTGCTTACAGTTACTTCTTTGAGGCTTTTGAGGCGTTCAATGCTTTGGAGGATCCAAGGGCAGTGTTCAGCCTCAAATATATGTTGCTCTGTAAGATCATGGTGAACCAGGTATGTGTATCACAGAACAGAACTTCTGAAGCTCAAAAATTTGAACCAATCGAGAACGCCGTAAATGACTTGAAACCAATATTTTGATCCATTTGTTACAAAAATCCTGAAACCGTGATTGATTTTAATTAAACTAACCCTCTACGGTGCTTGGGCCTATGTTTGTATTATCATGAAGGAATGACTTCCAATTAATGATGGACCAATTAAATTTATTCATTTTCTGCTCACTTCATACAAAGGAGTGTCACTGCTGTATTGTCCACTGCCTAAGAGAGGATCAAATTTTGGTGAAATTGAAAACCATGCTTAGATCCTTATGGCTGACACATGGATTGAGTTTCCTGTACACTTGGTTACCTCTAGCTAATTACAATGCAGTTATATCTATGTATTGTTATGCTCTTTAGTTTTCCAACAGTGAGTTACATGAGAATGAAGGGTTGATATGAACAATCCTCCACTCAATTTCTGCTTCGTGGAAAAACACCAGTATCGACCATCTATTGACAGTTAATGTAGTTTGCTGTTTGTAAGCTACATGCATTGCTATATAGAATCCCAACTTTATTCCAATGTTTTAAAAAACGGTCCGCCTGACGCCTGGGCGCCCTGAACCAAAAATCCGCCCGCCTAGACCCAGGCGACCCTACACGGGCGGATGTACCTGGGCGGGCTAGGCGTTTTTCATTTTTTTTAAATTATGGGGCGTCGGCCTAGGCGCTGGGCACCAGGCACGCCGCCTAGCGTTTTTTAAACCTTGCTTTACTCTAGTGGCTAATGGCATGTGCCTTGCATGATGCTCATCAAGAGATTAGATGAAAATAAACTAAATAATATTTTTTATTTCTTTTTAAGTCATTCAGTTTTTTGTGCCTGCTTAATTTTCTTTCTGTCCTTTTGAAGTTTTTTTTTTTTGTGGAGTTTCCTTTAATTGTTATAAGCTAAATACTATCATAGAAACTTCTGTTTTGTTAGTTCCCAATTTTGATAGGCATAATTAGCATATAGAGGCATCAAAAAGCACCCAATAGATGAACTATTTAACATCTCACCCATTTCTTTTGATTTAATTTCAAGAAGCCCATGGAAAGACCCATATTCAGAGTTAAAATAGCTTATATTTTATGATAAAGGGCTAAAATGTTAGTCAGTTGATATTTTTGTTGTGGGTTAATAAATCTCTCGTCTTTTTTTTTTCTCCTTTTTCTTTTCCATAAAATCTTTTTCTTTTTTAAAATCAAGATTAGATAAAACATGAAAGATATTTTTTTAGGAGATGTGGGGATTATTTTAATTTTATTTTTTGGCAACTTTATCATTGGATTTATATAACACAGCAAAGAGGTTTTTAAGTAAAGAGATTTTTGGGTTGATAGTTTATAGAGGGGGAGATCTTAAAAAAATTGGGGGGGCAAGCGATTAGCGAGAAAATTGTCACACTCCTACCTTTTTTTTTGGATATGTTAATGGTGGGAATTTAGGGTGGGGTATTATGATGAGGCATCCACCCCAAACCACCGAGCCCCAACCCCGTTCCTGACACATTCCTACTTATTTTCCATTGCATATAGATATGCATATGTCTGTGTGCACGCATGCGAGAGAGAGGTAATATGTCCTTGATTTGACTGATCTTTATACGCATGTCCCAGGCCGATGATGTTGCTGGAATAATCTCTTCCAAGGCGGGCCTTCTATATGTGGGTGTCGAACTAGATGCCATGAAAGCGGTGGCAGATGCCCACTCGAAGCGCTCTCTCAAGAATTTCGAGACTGCTCTTAGCAACTACAAAGCTCAGCTAGAGGAAGACCCAATAGTGCACAGGCATCTTTCTTCACTTTATGATACTCTCCTTGAACAAAACCTTTGCAGACTTATTGAGCCTTTTTCAAGGGTTGAGATCCACCATATAGCCCAACTCATAGGCTTACCTGTGGACCATGTGGAGAGGAAGCTTTCTCAAATGATTTTGGACAAGAAATTCGCAGGGACTTTGGACCAAGGTGTAGGGTGCCTCATAATATTCGACGATCCGAAGCCTGATGCTATATATCCAGCCACTCTGGAGACCATTTCTAATATCAGCAAGGTGGTTGATAGTCTTTACCTGAGATCTGCTCGGATTATGGCGTAAGTTGAGTAGTTTTCTGGGCCTTGTTACAGGCTAAAAATTTTCTTAAATATTGTGTGGTTTCTGAGATTTTGTACAGTCAACTTACTTTCAACTAATGCGTATTTTCCTCCAAGCTATAATGGTGCTGGAAATTGGTTTTTGGAGAGAGAGTAGAATGCTGCTGGAAATTGGTTGTTGGAGAGAGAGAGAGAGAGACATGGATCATTTCCACTAATCTATCCTCGATTGAGGTGAGGTGGAATGGGTTGTACATGTATTACTCATTGTGCCCAATGTTTTAGATTGAGTGAGGCCTATGGCCTATATCTTCAGATGGGCCCTTCCCTCTCCAAAACAAAGCTGTAAATCCATCAGATTATATTAGGGTATTTATGGGATTGTAGACTGATCTATGGTAGCATCGTTCAAGTAGTATTCATCCATTAGTCTGGAAGATATTTGTATGTTACATTCATCAATATCAGTGATTAAATACTTATTGGGCTAACTTGTGCATCCCTAAAGTCCGCCTGGACTGCAACCCGGGAATTCGGAGGAGAGGCCCAAAAATCATTTTCTCTCTGGATCCTTGGGTAGCCTTTGATATTATTTTTTGACAGCTGAGTCAGGCCTAAGAGTGGGAACCTTGTTTGGCCCATTCTGTGATGGACTCGAGCTCCTGACACTAGCCAGTCGGAGCCTGAGTCGGCTGATCTATAAGAACCATGGATCAGGCAGAAGGGATTCCACCTTATATCGGCTAGAACTGGGTCAACCTCATCTCACTTCTCATTTCTCATGTTGGAAAGTCTTGCTACTACATGTATATGGTAAATGAATATACCTTCTGAACTGAGAAAAGCTATGCATATGCATGGATGTTACATCATTTTTGAGAAAATGAGGCGTGAGATTTTACATCGTTGAAATGCTGGGTCTGAATCCTTAATCAAATCGCATTTCAATATTCTGATTGTAACCGCCTAAATGCTCTAGATTTGGTTTTGGTGTTGATAAATACCAATGATTTAAAAAATGCTAGGTCGGTACTGAATTATTCAGTTCGACTCGGGAATCGGTCAATCTTTTTCAGTTTTATGTATATATAGAAAAATGGCCGAGTCTAGACGGTTTTATTTAGATATGGGAAAACAATCGAGTTTAGAAGGTTTTCTGTATATATAGGAAAATGGGTGAGTCTAGAAGGGAGCTGGCGGTTTTGCACATGGTGGTTTTTATTGGTTCATTGTTTTATCGTGGGTTTACAATTTTCTTTTTTTACATAGTGAAACGGCAATTCAGATTACCGATTCACCAATCCAGACCAGTTTTTGGAGTGCCTGATCCGGGTCACCACTGTGCTTTTTAAATTGCTGATAAATGCCCAATTTGGTCATTTCCACCTTGGCAAATGTGATTGGGAAAAATGAATTTCAAGCCTTCAAAAGTTCAAAGTAATGTCACTTCGCCATTGATTACCCTTTAGTCATGCTATTTTTAATGTAGACTTTTTGCCCGACGTAACGTACTAATATGTTCCAGATGAGAGTTTGCCATACGCGCTTTTTTAACATGATAGAACTTTTTTTTTTTTTCCTTCCCTTTTTTCATCTTGTTGGCAAAGCATATAACATGAACATGCATGTTCATAATTTTTGGCATTTGGTGACACACCACCGAGGATGCGACTCTGTTGAGAAATTTTTAAATACTTTACTGATTTTCTTTGTTGAAATAACATTATAAACACACATAATCTTATTAAATCTCACCTTCACCCTGTCATGTGGATATATCATGTTAAAAATGCCAATTTTGGGTTCAGCACTTCGAAACTTATTAGTGTTAGAGGTTGGCACATGAAACCTTATCTTTGTAACGTGTCATGAATTTACACCATTAGATTACAGTAATTTAATTTCATAGAATAGTTCTTAACAATTTCATGGCCAACTGTATGCCCTCTAATCTCCTAGACTATTTTAGGTCAGGGTTTTGGATTTATGCTCTAAATTTTCCTGTTAATCCCTGTGGTGTAGCTTCAATTGTGGACCTATTTCATGCCATTGTCTCTTTCTTCGTATGATACAGTTTGCGTTTTTTTTTTTTTTTTTGAGTGTTTTTTTATAAAACAATGAAATTTTTATTTATGTGATCAAATTTATGAAAATTAGGACTAAGAATATTCTTATGCTTAAACTCGTATGAAATGAACGCTGAGTTTATATGTCATGTATTTATAGGTTAGTTGCTAAGTTGAGGTTAAATTTTGAGGTACTAAAAATGCTCCAAGATTAAATAGGCAATATGTTCTTGTGGGAGCAGACAATCTTTTTGGCTTCTATTATGGTCCTCTTTGGCAAGCAAAGATATTGGAAGACGCACAAAATTAGGGTAAAAAGAATAAGAAAGTACAAGTTGGAAGAAAGGGATTGTATATATTTAGACTGTGAGCTTTAGCACATAATTTTCACCCATACTTTATCAGAATGTAATATTTAGGGAGGAGTGTCACTTAGCCATATAAAGTAAAAGAATTTTTTGAACTTGAAGCCTTTAACACTCTAATTTCATATCTAACCGCTAAGGATGATTAGAGCTTTTATGTACCAGAGATAATTAGCCATATTGTTTACTTC